TAAAACTTCGATGTGTCAAACAACCATTTACACAACATTTCTTTGGTCTAAATTGCCTGCTCTGCGATTCGTGTTGAATCACCCTTCCCCCGTACCTCGTGAGCAATATACTTTTTGGTACAATATGGTGGTTCTGTGAAGATCCCGAGGATTGTTACACATCTGCACAAACACTGTCTTATCGTTTCTCTGCCAAGCCTAGTTCTGAACCTGTGAACGAGGCTACTCTCTGCTTGACCAATAACAGTAACCAAAGGATACCGGCCACAGGAATTCAATGACACACTGATAAATAATCAGCAACGCCGTCTTGATCGATAGGCTGAACATATCGATGCGCAGTTCACCTGTCCCCATCGAAATCTGACATACCATCCCACCCCACCCCCACTTCAATTGGGCAAAACCTCACAGTGGATGCCAGTCCTGCGTCTGAAATGGAGGTTTCTCGGGAAATAAGGTATCTCAAAAGGCATAAGGCATCTGGCGTCTTCACTCTGCACCAAACTGTGCAGCACCGGCGTTATTATCGTAGATCCACTATCTCTGTCATCCTTGATCTGAAAGCGGCCTTGGACTCAGTCTAGCGCTCCAAACTCTGGCGCTGCCTCTCTCTGAAGAGTGTGCTCAAGAAGTTTATTTCAGCATTACCATCCCTTTATACTAATAGCCGAAGTTGACTTCGAGCTTACGGCACTTCTTCGCCCGAGTGGTGTTCGTCAGGCTTGCGCTCTCTTTCTCCTTTTCTAATTAATTTTGTCAGTGATTTGACTATGGAAACAGCCCTATCCTCGTGCGAGGATATTGGTATTGATGTGCTCCCAGCTGGCGGACTACTTGATCTGAATCACGGACGACATTGTACTGCTCAATAAAGATCCATATAAATTGCAATCTTTTGTTGAGTGCTAACTCAGCCGTGTTCAGTATGCGTCTTTCATCTTCAAAGTGTAAAATGTCGCCACAAGACTGAGTTAGTCCAACTCCCAACCTCACTCTATTTGGAGAAATAATGGAACAAAAGGACAAGTTCTGTTATCTGGGCAGCTACATCTCGCCCGGTGGACGCATCACGGATGAAGTGTCAGCTCGCATACAGAAGGCTCGGTTGGCATTTGCCAAATTGAGACATCTGTGGCGCCATCGCGACATCCGGCTGTCTGTGAAGGGTTCAGTGTATGCCGCGACAGTTCGGCCAGTTCTGCAATACGGTGCAGAAACGTGGCCATTAGGAAAACAAGATAAAGATAGACTGTCAGTATTTAAACGCCGCTGTCCACGCAGCATTGCACGAATCTGGTGGGGTAGCCGGATGAGCAATGCTGAGGTTAGACGCAGAGTTCTGGGTATCCGCGGTCGCTCATTGGAGCAAGTGGTCGACCTTCACAGATTACGTTGGTTGGGACATGTGATACGCATGGCATCATGCAGGTTACCACGGCGAGCGATGTTCGCCGAAGCAGACACCGAGTGGAAAAAAGCCAAGGGTGGTCAAGCTAAGATCTGGCACAAGGGTGTGAAAACCCTGACCAGCAACCTTAGTTCACTGAACTTATTCATTTTCTCTGTGTTTCTACTTTGAAACATTCCTGTATTTCTCCTGCTACTTTATCCAAATCGGTACCCAAAAGACAGCACCTAAACCCGGCTGCACGAAAGTGCCTGATTAATGGTTGTAAAAACAGAACTTGAAACTGAATGCTTTACGGTTATAAGATGTTCAGTCGATGTTCATTTGGTTTGGCTCAGGTAGGATGGGATGATCAGGTTAGTAAAATTATGGTAACTTTTCTTGTATGCCGGAAAATTCGAAAGCTTCAAAAGTAAGTGTAATTGTTTGGCAAGGAGCTGACAATGGTGTTGTTTTTCTGATCAGGTCAGACTGTTCGAATAGACCCCCTTTGTACAGTTACACCAGGCGTTCCACGTGTTAACCAAAAGGATTCCGTTTATTTTCCCTATTTTTGTTTCTATCCGCATGGATTAATTTAAGCTTAACAGCAAGTGGGGACGTTCGTTGCACTGTATTCCGCTTTGTGATGTGAATGGTGATGAGTTGCGGTCCATTTATTTCCATCACATAGGTCTATCTATGAGTAGAACATAACAGTTCATTCAAGCTCGTTTAAAATAATTTCGGATTCATAGCTATCCCAATTCCAACAAGTTGTTTCGAGAATTGTCATACTCCTCTGTCCCCCGCGCGCGTCGATCTTCTTGCACAAACAAAACAACAAATCGTCTGATCATCGGACCACCGATTGATCAAGCGGTTACTATATTTTACGCTGGAAAATATTCTGCTCATCCTATCCGGGCATTGGTCTGAGACTCAAGGATCGACTGCCACTGTCAACCAGTTCACTTGCTCCGGTGGAGCCAGCTATATCGGTCGTATCAGTCGCCAGTTGACTAAACGGATTCAAGAGTATCACCCGTCCTGGCTGAGAAAAGGACTATCAAAGGCCATTCGTAGCTGAATTGTGGAACATCTTATCAACACGGCGCATACGGTAGATATTGAAAGGTCATTTAAGGTCATTTACAGAACCCCGATTAATCTGACCAAACAACTGCGGCACGGCCGAGGCGGTAGCGATTCGTATCCACCACCCCGAACAGTGCAAACAAAGACGGATCTTTCACATATTGAGTATGCCATGGTTCGTCAATATGACGTAATTGACCGTTGTTCAGAAAATCAAACGATGCCTGAATGACCCGGTGTTACGTAATCTACTTAGACAAGTGATTACAACCCTGTCAGATCCCCCCTCTCCCGCTCTGGTTTATTTTTATAAATCATGACTTTTGTTGCCACCTTGTGATCATATATTAATGTACAACCTTGAGCATGAGTAATCGAAAAGAATTCTTCGCTTCACTGGTCTTTTCAATGGTCTATGGGGATAGTTCAAGAAATACGTTGGTAATCCTCAACTGGGACCAGTTGAGTTGCATATGGTTGTTGATGAGACGCAACTAGCTTCCAACAGTTTAACAGGAAAAAATGCCTGGCTCTGTACTCGACGACGAACCTGGCGAAATTTTTGTTGTCATTGTTTTGGGATGCTGCGCGTTTGGGAATCTGCAATTGAAGTTAGGGATTGCAAAACAAACTCGTTCATGTCTCAAACCTCAGAGTACTTTCAACTTGTTTATACGGAGCCACAACGTTGGCCCAGTTTGTCCAGACCTTGTGAGAAACTGTTACAAACAAAGCAAGCAATGCTCGTTTATTTGGAAACGGTGAAGCCGATAGACGGAGTGTGTGTGTGTGGGTGGGGGAAGGCGGTTGAGTGGATGTGCACATACACAGTTTGTTTGTTAAAATCGCCCAGCCCCACCTTCTTGTGGTTCGCAGAACTGATCTCGCGTGTGTGATTTGACCACGCGGGCGGAGTGTCCAGCTGGCCCAGTTGCCACTGTTGATGCATCTGCGCGTGTCCTGAACACAATAGCTCGTTATTCGCAATCGCCTACTCGCTCGCCCGTCCCCGCCCCGCCCCGCACACCTG